AGATAGAAAATACAACTAACTATTAATGGCAGACAATGCTAAAAAGACATCTATTTACAAAAGTGGATTTAAAACGTGAAGTACGAACTCTAGGTAATATATAATCATGGCCCCTGCTGTGTAATTGCCTAGTACGTCTCGGCGGTAAAAGATCATCAAGTGCATTGGTATTTGAAGTGATCTTGATCCATAGTTTGCTATCTCTGGTGGCTAAAATATCACAAATACTATATTTCTTCAAACAATATCCAGACTTAAAAGCCCTAGCAAACAGTTTGTCTATTCTCTTAAGATAGTTATCATAATAACAGCAACCCCACACCTCGATAGCGTATGTGAAGACTAAAATAATTAGGCTTTGGAAGGGCGGATCTAATTTGTTCCTTAGGGTAGCCATAAAATCAACAAACTCTTAAAATATACATACGACTGCTGGCCTTACCAAGCACGTGATCAATGTGTGAGTCCCAGTTCACAGGGTCATCCTCAAATGTAACACCAAGCAGTTTGAGCTTGGTTTTACGCTCCACAATAGCGAGAGGAGCTAGTGGAACTTTCAGGCTACCACATTTTATATGCAAAGAGGAGGGCCACTTGGGGATCAACTGTGATTACTCTTGGGTTTTTCCACTCATTCACTGCACCCCAACGACGAAACGGGCGAACTAAACATTGGCGAATCAGACCATGGCTCTATTGATGAAAATGCTCCACTTGCCTCTGTTCTTCTTCCACCCAAACGATCTTCTGAAAATCTTCCTCAGCCAAATCCGCCCATCAACGAAGAACTTGTTGAAAACTTGCCTTCCGTCTTCCCACCGCCAGACGATTTCAATGAAACTGATCAACCTTCACAACCGGAACAACATGAACAACCTTCTCAACCTAAAGAGCCTGAGCAACCTTCCCAACTTGAACAGCCTTCACACGATGTCTTCGAGCAATCTTCTCAACCGTCATCTGTCTCTTCTGATTCCCCGACTCTGGACTCGCCACTTATCACTTCACAAAGACTTATCGCCTCAATCAAATCTGTCATTAAACCACCTTCCCGCCGAACACCTGCTGAGCTATCTGATGAATCATCTCTTGCCTGTTCTCGAAAACCCACCACGCCAACACTTGTTTCTGGAAAGTCTCGTTCTTCAATCCCTGTGCCCACTGCACCATGTACTCCCTCACTGGTTACTCCTGATAACCCCGAAGGTGATATGGAAACCACCCATGAACTGAAAAGAAAATCTTCTGAACTCTCGATCCCTAGCCCAGAGAGGAAAAAGGGGAGAAACAGGTCAAGAAAATCCAACTAAGCCTTTGCAATTTTTAAGTGAGTCTTTTTTCCACGGATTTCAAAGTGAGTCTTTCTTCCTAAAATCTTTCAAATTATTAACTATCAATGCAGGGGGCATGGAAAATCCCCTCACCCACAATTATTTATTTGATTCAATTGAAAAGATGTCTTGTGATTTTTGCTTTGTATAAGAGACGTTTATTAATTCTGAGTCTCTGATCAAGGCCGTGTCCCATCGATGGCCGGGACGTAGTTTCTGGTCCCCTGCCATCGGCCGACAAGGCGGAGTGGCAACTTTGGTTTACCCTAGAATTTCAGATGAGGTCATATCATGGAAGAAAGATTCGCACGGTCGTATCGTCAGTATCCTGATCAGGACCAACGATGTCGATCTGAACTTAGTAAATATTTACGCTCCCACCAATCCATCTGAACGAAAAGTTTTTTTAGACTCTCTACATGACTTTTTTATTCCATCACCGGCGACTCTCATTGGCGGGGATTTTAACTGTTATGATAACGCTCTAGAAAAAGTTGGGGGCAACGTCGCTATTCATAAAGATTACGAGTCATTGAAAAGTGTTTTCACTTTTATCGATGTATGGCGTAAACTACACCCTAATCAAAGGCAATTTACGTGGTTCAATAGCCCATTTCCGAATTACCCTTGGCCTCACTTTCAAAACGAGTCCTGGTGCTCATCTTTTCATATGATAATAAGTTTTCATTCATATGCAAATTAAACTCATTTTCACAAGAATGGTTGAGCACTAGGCCTCGTTTTGTAAATGAGGCCAAGGGTAATTCGGAAATGGGCTATTCCACCTCAACCCCTGAGACGAAGTGTGATATTTTTCCTTGTTCATTTT